ACTGTGGCTTGCTGGCCGGGTGAGGGGCCCGTGTTAGCTGTTTCGGGCATCCCCTCCAGCCGCTGCAGGGCGCGGCGCGGGGGTGGCAGGCTCGAGCTTCGGGGCCTTGGCAGGCTGGAGCGGGGCCCGAAGGCGCCGAGGCGATGCTTGGCAAGGGCTATTATCCATGCTGGGCGGTCGGCCGCGGCGGGCGCGGCGCGCCGGGTGGTCGGGGCTGCGTCGAAGGGCCATCGGCTCCTGCGGGGCTGGCGCGGTCGCCCGAGGCGCCGGCCTGGGGGGCGCTGCGTCCTCGGACAGCAGAGCGATGGCCCGAGGCCGAGCGTGCCCCTTGACCTTGCGTCCGCCCTGGGGAGGCAAAATAGCTAGCTGTAGCCTCGCCCCCCGCCCACGCGGTATATCTCGGTCGCCCAGTTGGTGCTGTTGAGAATGTTGAGGATTCGGCCGCGCGTGGCAAAGGCTGCGTTTATGCCCGTAACGCGGTGCCTGGCAGTGGCCAGCGCGCGCGGCGGTTGCGCCGCGAAGAGCCGGCGAGACTGCCTTGGTAACTTCAGATTGCGCGGGGGCTCGCGGGCCGATGCGGGGCCCTTTTGACCTGGCCTGCGGCGGGCCCCATATGGCTTTCAGCTTGATTGAGTCAACATAGACCGTGGCGAAATTTGGCCCGGGTCTGGGTGCCAGATGAAGTCGCGCTTGTCGGCGGCGTCTGGCGGCGGGGCGCCTCGGCCGATGGGGGTGTCGAAAGTGGTCCCTTGTTGGCCAGACGCGCTCAGCACGTCGTGGACGTGGGCAGGCTTGATGCCGAAGGTGGCCGACTAGCTGCGCTCGCACGCCTGCGCCCCGTGGCGGCGCAAGGACTTGCAGGGCTCAGCGAAGGCGACGCGCGGGAAGAGCTGCTCCCGCAGGAAGTCAAAGCCTTATTGGGGCTCCGCATGTAGCGCCAACTTCTTAGGGCTGGCCTTGGCTTCGTGATGCCGCTGCATGGATCGTTGCGGAGCAGAGCCGTCGCCTGGGCCAGGCTTGCACTGCCCTTTGACTGGGGCGCCGCTTGCGAACTGCTGGGGGAACACTTCGGCAAGGGCTTCGCAAATTGCAGCAGTGGCTTCGTCTTCTCAGATGGTACCGCGAGCCCGCGTATCTTGCAACGCTGAGTCGAGCTCGGTGTGCCCAAACTGGTGCATGGTCGCGTCGAGGAGGGGGCGGGCGGGTTGCGGTCGAATGGAGTGCGGGGACCTTGCGCTTGAGACCTGTGCCGCGGGCTCTTGGGGCCAGGGACGACCGCGGCGAGGGGTCGTCATGGCGTTGGGGCGCAGCCAGGATGGCTGGCGCGTCTTTGGCCGTGTACAGAGAGACTGAGCTCTTGTCCGTGGTCGTGTCCGCGCCCGTGTCTACTGCCGGCTCGGGGGCCTTGATGGCTGGGGCGCCCCGGTGGCTCGGATCGAGAGAGCAGCGCGGGGTAGCGACCGAGGCCTTGGGCGGCTGCGGCTGAGACATTTTTCGCGCGGGTGCGCTCGTGTTGCAGGCGGGTCCAGGAGACCTGCGGGAGGCGCGCAGGTGGTGAAGTGCGCGTCGGAGGTCTTCTGGGGAATCGCGTTGGATGGCCCATGCCAGCTCTCAGGGTCGGGCGCTGCGCGTCGAGGGTGCGCTGCAGAGGTCGCGCGGCGGAGGGGGCGCGGAGGGGCCGAGGCGCGCGGCGGCCTCTGGAGGCGTCGGGGAGCGCTCGGGACGGTTCCCGGAGGCCCAGAGCAGCCATGGCGACGCGGGGCACTTGGCCTGGGCGTGAGTGTGTGCACACCTATATATATACATACACACACACATATATATATATATATATATATATATATATATATAGATGTGTGTTCCCCAATCAGAGCTTGCCTCTGTAGGGGTCCTAGCGGATTCATATGATTAGGTTAGGTTTGTCGCCGATTTTCGCTGCGCGCCAGGGTGCCCGGGTGCCCGGGGGTGCCTGGGGGTGTCCTATAGCCCTAAGCCCTATGGCCAAATAGCCCTGCAACTCTATAGCCCTATGGCTCGATGGCCCTACAGCTTAATGGCCCTATAGCCCCTCCGCCCTGCAGTCCTGATTGGGTTATCTCCGGTATCATGTATATATATACACACGCAGTTTCTATTGCGCAAGGAATTGTGGTCTCAAGTTATACGCGCATATTTCTTGGCCGAGGATTGTAAGCAAGGCATGGCAGTTTCGAATGTTTTAAACGCGCTTGACCCCCCACGACCGCTCCCGAGGCAAGCTTAACAAGACCCCGAGCGATGTAGTGGGAGTGGCCCGATCGCTGGGCTTCTCGCCTCAACTTCTTGTCGACGGCGTCTAGGCGGGCGAACTCCCGGGCGGGAAGCGGCTGGAGATGCCGAAGAATCCAATCGCGGCACCTGGGCCTCCTCGCATCAGAAAGGCGTGCGAGGAGCCTGAGCCGCTGTGCGAAGTCTGTCTTGCAGCAAGGGCAAACGGCAGTGGCCGCGTACATGCGCATGGTAGCGCGCTCGCCGTGCTTCGCGCGCCTGTGACTGCGCAGCGCGCGTTCTGAAGCAAACGAAGCCTGGCGCTGCGCGCGCGCCCACGCCAGCTGCGAAGCAGGGGAGGGGGGCGGAGGAGGAGCAGGATCACATTTGGATTCAACGAAACCAAGGCGACCTACCAGCTCACTCCACACACGCCCATCCTGCAACAACTGCTCCCATCTACCTGGGCCCTCGAGTGGGGGCGGGAAATCCAAAGGCATCGTCGCGCGGCGCAGCAGCAGAGCATCGTCGAGCAGTCGCTGCACCCACGGGAGAGGCTTGTCGTTCACGCGCGCATGAAGGAGGGCGAGGAGAGATCGCGGCCGGTTTCGAACAGGCCCCCCCCGAGCAGCAGACGGCCTCGAATAATAAGGCAATCGATTGATGGCTGCCGAAGCTGCTCTCGCACCTCGCGATCTGAGAACTTCACGTCCGCCGAAAATCTCGAATCGCCGATGATACGACGCAGCGCTCTCATGTACACGCCATTCAGCTTCCTAACGGCGTTTGGTGCTGGAGCTGCAACGAACCCTGGAAAGAGGAGACGAGACAATGCCAAATTAGACATGCAGCGCAGCATATGCGGACTCTTCACATTCGGGGCTCCGAGAATTTTGGACGACGACGCAGCGTGCGCAGCCGTGGCGCTCGCACGCCTATGAGAGGCGTTCTTAAAGCGCGAACCGTCTACCCCTGCATGCGTGCCTGGATGGACATCGCTCTCGACGACATCGATGGCTAGACCTGGGCGGCCTGGAACCTGGAGACGCAGCTTGCCGTCAGAGAACCGACGGACCCCACGCAACTGCACAGACTGGTACCCACGGTACCTTAAGAGAGCCTCGGTCTTCCCTGGCTTACAGTTTATCGAGAGGTGGAGGTCTCCAAAGACCCTGAAAAGCTGGGAGAGCAAAACATGGATGGCTTTGTTCAAGAGAGTACCAGACGGCGCCATCAGGACGAAACATTCATTGTCGACGCGCGCAGCGTCCACGACCGCGGCGGTTTCGGGCGCGCGCCTCGAGGCCTGCGGAGGAGCCCGCAAAGGGGGATTCAGGCGCTGGGAGACGGAGCGTGACATCAGCCTGCTCAAGTTGCCACGCTAGCAGGTCCAATGCGATCGAATACACAGCGTGAAAAGTTAGAGCGCCGAGCTCGCAGCCCAGTCTTCCCCCCGCGCGACTGGCGACGCGAGGCCCCGCCCCCGACGCCCCGAACCGCGCTTCAGCATGCGGGGGCTGGCGCAGATCAGCCGCGCCGTCATCGACGCGCCGCTGGGCAAACAAGGGGCCGCGCTCACGCAGATGCCGCAGGGCCCAGTCGATCGCGCCATCGCCGACGCCCAGCTTCCGCAGATGCACGACTCGAGCGTCGTGATCAGCAGGAGGGTGCGGACCCTTTCCAAAGACCAGCTCGCGGAGCGCGCGATCAAAGGCCTTCGCGAGGTCTACGAATAGCACCACCGCCGAGAAGTCGCGCATATTGGCGGCCTCCAGGGCGGCGCGGACGAGCAACGTCGCCACGTCAGTCCTGCGTTTTGGGGCAGCGCCGAACTGCGTCAGCGGCATGCGGTCGACGTGCGTCGGGTCGAGGTGGGCTTTCAGCATCCCCGCCAGAGCTTTGCCTGGGTGGTCTGCCAATGGAATGCCACGACTGTTATCGGGCCCCCGTGTATCGCCTTTCTTCTTGTAAAATTCCTGCAGCCGCCCGCCTCGCCACTGACGGGGCCGAGGGCCGTTGCGCAGGGCGCGCGTGTTGACCGTCGCGAACTTGCGGGCGATCGCATCACCGCCCACCTGCAGAAGTTCAGCTGGGGTGTGATCGTAGCCGACGCCTTTGTTGCGGCCAAGCGCCTTGGACGCCGGGCGCGCGGCCTCGGGCCCGACCTCCGGCGCCGTCGGAGCAGCGCGCGTCGGGCGCGCAGGCTCTCGCAGCGCATCATCAGCGACGGGCTCGCCGCCGAAGACCTCGGCGAAGTGCTCCAGCCAACGCCGACGGACAGCTGGAGGGTCGGAGGCCACGGGGCCGTCCTTGAGAAAGAGGCATGCCGCGGCTCGGTGGTCGGTTCCACTCAAGGCCCGCGCGATCGCGTAGGCCTGTTGGGGGTCGTGCTCGCCAAGGGCCGCGGACGCAGCCGTCGCCATGGAGCCCAAGAAGGCAGCGCGATCACGTTCCATAGTGGGCTTCGCACACCACTGCAGCCGAAAGGTCATGGCATGAGCCAGCGCTCCTTGCCATCGATGCTGACGGAGAGTGAAGTCGTTGTCCACCGCTGCGCCGTGGAAGAACCAGGGGCGAGGTGTCGCGCGCCCATGTTCCGGGAACGCCGTTCCGGAACATGGAGACGAAGCACGGCTGCCCAAGCATGCGACCGAGCGCCACGCCATCAAGCGCATCCCCTTGAAGGCAACGTGTTCGCGGAGAAGCGCAGCATGTCGGGCTCGTCGCAATGGCGCAACGTGCTGGATGATCTCCTAAACCTGGGCGCTGATCCGTCGCTTGCGAAGCTGCCGCTTGGGGTCGCCAAAAGCCAGTCGGCCAGCCCACCTCACGTGCGCGTTCAGCAGCTCAAGGTGGCCATCGACGCGGATGCCCCCATCGATGTGCGGGAAGAGCCACATCGGCCGCTGGAAGAGCTCCACGAGGCGCGGCTGGGAGAGGTTCAGCTTGTTCAAGCAAAGCGGCGGCGAAGTCCTCGTGGACGTGGAGGCCGCTCGCACCTGCGTGGACAGGACCACCACATTGTGGTCTTCCCAAGCATTCATGGTCAGATCGATGCCGTAGTCAGGCCGGCAACGCCGGGCGTCTGCGGAGCACTCCATCGGAACGAAGATGAAGTCGATCCGAGCGTGCGTGCCGTAGGATGGCGTCCATGTGTGGCCTGCATCAGGGCCCCGCGTATTAGCTACCATCACCTGCTGGTGCTCAGCGAACTCCCGAACGTGAGCGCCATGAAAATTCTCCAGACTCGGAGCGGACGCGCCAATCATTGGCGAAGATACTGATCCAACTCGGCCATTGGTGTCAGTGCACGCGAACCAAGGAATCGAGTACTGATTGCGGAAGGCCGTGACTTGAATGCCAAGGGGGTCCCGCCATGCAGCGCGCTCCGCAGCAGGAGCAAGAAGGTGTGGACCATGAGCAGAGACGATGCCGAAGTCGACGCCCTTCTTGGGCAACGCTGCAAACAGCAGACGTGCGGAGGGCGCCTCCCGCGTCTTCGCCACCAGCCCATGGCGGGACCAGATCTGGACGCCGCAAGAACCGTCCTCGAAGGCAGCAGCGCACATCATGGTGTACGAGGAGTCCTCCGTGCTGACCGTCGCTGTGGCGCGGCCCTCCTGCGCCGCGATGACGTCCATCTCAGCGGCGAGGAACTGATCTTCAAGAAGCTGAACCTTGCTCAACATGCAAGCATTGGCAATCTTGGCGTAGGCACGCTTCTCTTGCCAAGGGAGGGGCGCGTTCACCGCGCCCGGATCCGTGCCTGGGTCGGGGCGCGCACTGCCTCGCCCTGGCCCTCGAGCGCCGCCAGGGCCTTCTCGAGAAGCGCGATCGTCCCTTGCAGCTGCTGGCGCGAGGGTGCACCCTGCTGCTGCTGGTCGACCTGCGTGGTCGGGGACGGGTCCTCTGCCGTCGACGCGGCTGGCGCCGAAGGTGACGTTGTAGGGGTCGTACCAGCAGAGGTCATGGCCGCCCCTGACGTCGCACGCTGGAGCTTTGCCGCCACCTCCGCCAACTGCTGGTTGATCGGGTTCTGGGGCGCAGGCGGAGGCGAAGCAGACGTCCCACTGCTCGGCCCCGTGGACAGAGCCGCCTGCGCCAAAGTCTTGCGCATGCCGCAAATGCTGCACGCGTTCTTCGTCCAGTTGCTCGACTGGCAGCCACTGCACACCCACAACCTCGAGGTCGGCTTCTGCCCGCCGCCTCGCTGGCCGACGTAGTGCCACTGGTCACTCGGGTCCTTCTTCCACTCCGCTTGCGTTGGCGAAGAGGAGGAGCCTCCGTGTCCGTGCTGCCATGACCATGGCGCCATTCACTCTGCTCACAGAAGGCGGGAACTCCAAGGCACACGGTGGGGCTCGGTCGCTGGTGTAGACCTACGTTTCAGCTCGAGGCCAGAACGTGCAGGGCCACTCCTCAGACGGGGCTGAGGTTGCGCACCTGTTGCCGCTGCTTGCACTTGAGGCAAAATGGATACGGTTATACACATACACATATATCCGCCGACCTCCTCCAAGAGCGCAAGGCTGCGAAGGTGTGTGCGGTCTGCTGTCGTATGTGATGTGTTGTCATTTGTTGTCTGGCCTTTTGTCTCTCCAGTCCTGTTTCCTCCCTCCTGTTTATTGTTTGCTAGGGGGCCCCGCCGAGCCACCAAACAGCCAACGGGAGGGGGAACCTCAAATCCAGACTGCTCCGGGCCACCCCAAGATTCTCATGGTGACGCCACCGCTTCAGGAGGCCAAGACGGCCCAAGATAGCCCAAACATTTCCCACGATGGCCCCAAAACGGCCCAAGATGCTCCCAACACGGCCCAAGAGGCCTCCAAGAGGCCTCCCAAGAGGGCTCTACGAAGCAAACATCTATAAATTTCCCGACGTGTTTAAATGTATTCGGCCTTGGTCGCCTATTCGGCTTTCCGACGTTCCGAGATGGACCAAGAATTCCCAATATCGCTCCACGACGGCCCTAAAAGCCCCCATGACGGCAGAGGGCCCCAAAACGCTCCAAGAGGCGCCCCAGACGGTCAAAAAGGGCCCTAAGATGGTCCCAAGAGAGGACCAAGAGGGAGTCCACGAACTGAAAACTCGGCCTTTCCGCCCCGAGGACCCCAGGAGGCCCCAAGGTCCCAGGAGGCCCCCAAGAGGCCCCCAAGAGGCCACCCAAAGGCTTCAAGGAGACCCCCAAGAGACCTGAAGTATCGTTTCCAAAAGGCCCCAAGGAGACCCCCAAGAGGCCCCAAGGAGACCCCCAAGAGGCCCAAGGAGACCCCCAAGAGGCCCAAGGAGACCCCCGCGCAGTCGCCCGTACTAGTAATAGGGGGGCCGGCGGCAGAGGGCGAAGCCCTTAAGATCCGGCCGCTCCCGCCCTGCGGTGTGGGCCGTGCGAGACCTCTCTGACAGAGTGTTTGGCACAGTCTTTGGCCCCCTTCTCCAGTGCCTGGTCAAAAACCTCCTGAAAGTCCCTCCGAGGGGGCCCCACTCTGCCGCCGGCCCCACTCTGCCGCCGGCCCCCTTCAAGGTCTCAAACGGCCCGGGGACGACCCAAGGGCGCCCCAAGCCGGACCTAGAGAGTCCCGAGCAGTCCAAGAGAGCCTCCAGACGGCTCCAGATCGCTCCAAGACGCCAAAGATGGCCTCCAGACGGCCCAAGACGCCTCCAAGACAGCCTAAGAGGCCTCCAAGCGCACCCCCAAGAGAGCTCCAACATGCCCAAATCATTGATTTTTCATTGGTTTTTGAAGGATTTTCGCGTTCTCGCCATTTCGGCTTACCCACGCTCCAAGACGGCCCAAGAGGCCCCCAAGATCGCCCCAGGACGGCCCAACAAGCCCCCAAGAGGGCTCCAAGACGGCGCAAGAGGGCCCCAAGACGGCCCAAGAGGCACCCAGAACGGCCTAAGAGAGGCCCCAGGACGGCCCCAAGAGGGCGCTCAGAAGGGGAACCCGAATGAACATTTTGAGCTTTCGGTCCCAAGAGGCCCCCAGGGGGCTCTTAGAGGCCCCCAGGAGGCCCCCAAGAGGCTCCAAGAGAGCCCCCAAAGGCCCCAAGAGGCCCCCAAGAGGCTCACAAGAAGCCCCCAGGAGGCCCTCAAGAGGCCCTAAACTCCCCCGCAGAGGCCCCGAGAGCCCTCTCGAGAGACCCCAAGAAGCGTCCACGAGGACTCCGACCCAAAACCCAAGCACGGTGGCGGGATGGGCCGCGCCACGTCACGACTTTCGATGCTGCGCGATCTTCGGCAAACTCCCAGGGAGCGGCCGGTGATGCGCCGCCGGCGTCCTCGATACATGTATATATATGTATATATGTACATATTCCTCTTCCTATATTTTTATAAGCCCGGGCGAGGGGACCCCCCCCCCAAAACCGGACTCCCGGGACCTGGGGCTTTGGGGCCCTCCGGACGGGCCTCTAAGCGGCCACCAGGCCTCGCAAGGCGTTTTGCCAAGCCTTCCCAGCACACTTACGGCGATCAGGGGGGTCATCGGAGACGTCCCGGAGACCCCAAAGACAGCACAAGAGCGCTCCAAGAGTGACCGACGTGACCTCAAGATGGCCCAAGAGGCCTGCAGGGCGGCCCCAAAGAGGCCTCCAAAAGCACTCCCAAGAAGGCCCCCGGAGGCAAAAATCATTGATTTCCTATGTGTTTTTGGTGGATTTTGGGGTTATCCTTTTTTCGGCTTCCCGACGCTCTAAGGCGGCGGTCTTCTGGGCGTCCGAAGCCGCCTGGGAGGCTCCCAAATCGCCCCACAACCATCCGAAAGGGCTTCCAGGCAGTCCAAGAGTCCCCAAACGGCACAACACGGGTCCAAGATGGCCCTCAGAGAGCCCCATGGCGGCCCAAGATGGCCCAAAGACACCCTCCGAACAATTCCAAATCGTGACTCGGTCGTTCAGGGAGACGGCAGTTGGAGGCAGGGTGGCCCGAGGAAGCCCCCGGAGGCCCCCAGAATACGCCCAGGAGGCCTCCAGAAGGCCTTAAGAAAGCCCGGAACAACTTTTGTGAGGCCCCTAGAGGCTCTCCAAGGAGGAGCCTCCGCAAAAAAAGAGCTGAGGAGGATGGGGAGAATGCGCAGGGTATGGCGAAACTAAGGAACACTAAGCATGGAGGAATAATAACGATTAACATCATCATAGCGGCGATGCTGGAGAAGGCAACCAGGAGTTATCGCTAAATTGTCGGCTTGACCTTCCTGCCATTCCGCCTGCATGCCAAACTTCAAGGACCAAGGTGCATGGCGCGAAGCGCCATTGCAGTCTTGTATATTTTTATATATATATATATATACGTATGCTTGTGTCGCGATGGGCGTGCCAGCCATGAGGTGTCTTGGCGGATCGGCAGACAAGACAAATATATGTAGGCAGTTCCAACATTGCATACACATATTCAAGTTGTGTGACTGAGAACTGTTGTATTCATTGGCTCGCGGTGGCCTCTGAACGGAATCATTGGTAAATTAGATGCCTTTCATTGCAAGCGCTGGCAACCAATCATCGGTATTCCTCATTCGTATGTCTCACGAATTCCTAACGCGACTGTCTTGGAACGGGCGCAGACCCGGCCCCTGTCGCAAACTGTGCTGGATAGACAAATCGAGATTCACAACAAGATCGCTAGCCAGCCAGCTGACTACTTCGTGCGACAACTTGTATGTACCCTTTGGCGGCGCCCCGAAGCCTTGGGCACGTCAGCGCTGCAGATGACGTCCACGGGAACAGTGGGAAGAATCAAGGAAGGGAGAAAGGGAGGGAGGGATTGAGGGAGGGAGGGAGGGGGAAGATAGGCGAGGGGAGAGGACACGACGCGAGAGGACGAGGAGGAGGATGAGGAGGAAGAAGGGGAGCATGGTAGTGGGAGGAGGACGGATGAAGAGAGAAAGGGGGAGAGGCAGAGAGAGGATAGGTTCGGAGACGACGAAAGCGCTGGCGCCACATCTGACACTGCGGGGTTCCTTCCTGCCGCAGCGCCGGTCGGACGCGGTCGACGGCCGCCCCGCGTCAGGGCGACAGCTCGCGCCGCAGGTTGGCCGCCAGCGAAACCACCACGAGCCTTGCCGCCGCCGACGTCGTCGAGGGCCTCGCCGCCAGGCCTCATCGCCGCCGTCCTCGTCGTCGGGCGTCTGGCGTCCTCGTCGTGGTGCGTCGTGGTGCGTCGTGTCGTCGGCCTCGTCGCCGCCGTCGTCGGGCGTCGTGTGTCGTCGGGCACCGTGCGCTGTCGGGCGTCGGTGGCGCCGCCGTCGCCGTCGACGGGCGCCATCGCAGCCTGGTGAAATTCTCGACGAACGGCGCGAAACCGGGCAGCGGCTGGCACCTGCCGGGGGCGTCGTCGCCGTCTTCGGAGGAATGTCCCGGGCTTGAGGGCCGAGGAACTCCTGGTGCGTTCTCGGGGTTTCCCTGGGCCTGGGTGAGCGCCCTCTAAAAGGGGCCCATGTGGGACGCAACCGAACATACACAAATTCCAAGATCCCCAGTCTTTATCAATCTGTCATGGATTTCCGTCTTCCCCTCCATTTCCAATATTTGCATGGTACTGTGATGTCTGTGTGTCTGTGGCGGCGCACTGAGGGGGGCAGGCAAGGGCAGCGGGCCTTCCAAAACGGCTAACTCCCCGAGCCGCTTCCCAGAAGCCACGCTGCCGTCCGAGGAGGCCTGCCCCCTCTCAATTCCCCCTTTCGGCGCGTCGCCGATCGAGGGGCGCCCTCGTCGCCTCGGCGGGGTCCGACTTGAACTCCTGGCAAGAGCGCGCGCCCACGTGATGCAGCCCTACACCAGGCGTTGCTCAACGGGGAGGCAGAACAAGCGGCTGGGTGTGCCTTTCGTGTGCCTTCGAAGCCCCATAGGGGGCCTCTTCAGAACCCCTGAAGGGCCCTGGTTCGGGGAAGTTTTTTTTTCGATAGAAACCTTTTCCTGACATGAGGAAGCGCGTGGCATCGAAACGCTTTGCAAGAACATGCGCCGACATCGAAATCAACAATCGTATAATTCGTTCTGGACGTTCACGGGGGGTGTCAACTGGAGTTCACTCCCCGCGCAAGTCCAGGCAAATCTCCAGGATGCTGAAACCACGATAGCTTTCCATGCTTTTCATATTATCGATGGCCCGTCCGAAGGCAATTAAAGACATGTCCCGGCTGAAGTTGGCAAGAGCATCGCCAACACCACGATCAACTGTACCGCAGGAGCTTTCACTGAACGTCCACGGGGACATATAAATTGGAGTTCACTCTCTACGCAAGTGAAGGTGAAATCCCAACATGTTGAAGACATAATGGATTTCAATGATCTAATCGCTTCAGCCAGCCCTGGAGTCCTCTTTGAGGCCTCTTGGGGGCCTCTTGGGGACCTCTTGGGAGTCTCTTGGGGCTCCTTGGCGGCGTCTTGGGGGCCCCCAGGGCCTCTTGGGGGGCTTTTGGGGCGGGAGGGGGGGTAGTCGATTGCGGCTCCCCCCATCGGAGGCCGCGATCCTCGTGAAGGGTGTCGAAATATGGCCCCCCCTGGAATGCTCTCGTGGCTTCTCCAGGGACCTTGCCGGGGTACTTTTCGTCCGGGGACCCCCAGGGACCGCTCCGCGCGCGCGAACTAAACATATTGTTAACCAGTTGCCGGAGATCTTAGCACGCCTCTGGCCCGCTGGGCCGGCGAAATTTCACCTTTTCGGCGACAGTTCGAAGGCAATTGTTTCAGATGTCTTGAGCGAAGTGCCTCTTTTCAGAAATCTGCCGACCCCTTGGGGTTCATCGGCGCGTGAAATGCCCTCCCCCCCCCCCCCTAAACCCCTCCCCCGGGAGCCCGGTCGATTTGGAAGGGGGGGGGTCCGGCCAGTTCCCCAGGGAGGTCATCCGTTCCAAGAAATCCTGCAGGGGCTCCTCCGTGGCCTCGAAATGGTCCCAGGGCGCCACTCGACGGCCCAAAATGACCTCCACGTGGATTTTGCCCCAAGATGCCCCAAGATGGGCTCAAGACAGCCCGCGATGCCTCCAAGATGCTCCAAGAGGCCTCGAAGAGGCACCCCAAGAAGGCCTTGAAGAAGCCAGCGCCACTAATTTCCCGTGGGGGAACGTACATTTTTAGCATGCACGACTTTTCGGCCTTCACGGCGATGAAGCCACTCCAAGAGGCTCCCAAGACCACCCCAATACGTCCGAAGAGGCTCCCAAGAAGCGCCCAAGACGGCCCAAGCGGGCGCCGAGACAGCCCGAGAGGCACCCAAAACGGCCGGAGAGGGCCCCAAGACGGCCCCCAGAGAGGCCCAAGCGGGGCAGCCCGCACCGAAAATCTGAGCCTCCCGCTCCCGGACGGCTCCAAGACACCCGCAGAGGCGCCCGGAAGGGCCCCGGGGGTTCCCAAGACGCCCCCAGAAAGCCCCCAAGAGGCCCGCAAGAGGCCCCAAGAGCCCCCCAAACGGCCCTCAGGAGGCTTCGAGACTCCCGTCAAGAGGCCCGCGAGAAGTTTCCCCGAGGTGATCCAAGCGAACGCCGCGCAGGCCTCATGCCCGCAACCTGGGCCCAGCGGTCAGACTCCTCGCAACTTCCGTTGCTTGCCGCCGCGCTCGTCGATTGTCTCCGCAGGGCGTTTCGGCGGTGCGCCCGCCCCGCCATATATAGCACTTCGCGCAAACCACCGGATTGCCCCGCTTGAAAAAATATTCCCCTGGTCCTTCGACAGACCTTGAGCAGCCTCGTAATTGAGTCGAAGGGAAGCCCCTTCCCTTTGATCCCTCCCCCGCCGGGAGGGGGGGGGTAGCGACCCCCCCCCCGGGTCAGATACGACGCTCCCCCTGGGACTCCTCTTCCCCTGGGCTCCAGCCGAGCCGACCTTGAGCAACCTCGTAATTGAGTCGAAGGGAAGCCCCTTCCCTTTGATCCCTCCCCCGCCGGGAGGGGGGGGGGTAGCGACCCCCCCGGGTCAGATACGACGCCCCCCCCTGGGGCTCCTCTTCCCCTGGGCTCCAGCCAGGCCGACCTTGAGCAACCTCGTAATTGAGTCGAAGGGAAGCCCCTTCCCTTTCATCCCTCCCCCGCCGGGAGGGGGGGGGGGTAGCGACCCCCCCCCCGGGTCAGATACGACGCCCCCCCCTGGGACTCCTCTTCCCCTGGGCTCCAGCCAAGCCGACCTTGAGCAACCTCGTAATTGAGTCGAAGGGAAGCCCCTTCCCTTTGATCCCTCCCCCGCCGGGAGGGGGGGGGGGGTAGCGACCCCCCCCCCGGGTCAGATACGACGCCCCCCCCTGGGACTCCTCTTCCCCTGGGCTCCAGCCAAGCCGACCTTGAGCAACCTCGTAATTGAGTCGAAGGGAAGCCCCTTCCCTTTGATCCCTCCCCCGCCGGGAGGGGGGGGGGTAGCGACCCCCCCCCCGGGTCAGATACGACGCCCCCCCCTGGGACTCCTCTTCCCCTGGGCTCCAGCCAAGCCGACCTTGAGCAACCTCGTAATTGAGTCGAAGGGAAGCCCCTTCCCTTTCATCCCTCCCCCGCCGGGAGGGGGGGTGGGACGCCCCCCCCGGGTCAGATGGACGCCCCCCCTGGGACTCCTCTTCCCCTGGGCTCCAGCCAAGCCGACCTTGAGCAACCTCGTAATTGAGTCGAAGGGAAGCCCCTTCCCTTTGATCCCTCCCCCCGCCGGGAGGGGGGGGGGGTAGCCACCCCCCCCCCCGGGTCAGATGCGACGCCCCCCCCGGGACTCCTCTTCCCCTGGGCTCCAGCCAAGCCGACCTTGAGAAGCCCCTTCCCTTTCATTCCCCCCCCGCCGGGAGGGGGGAGGGGGGTCGCGGGGGGGGGCGGCGACCCCCCCCCGAGTCAGATACGACGCCCCCCGCCCGTGCCGACCTTGAGCAACGTCGTCATTGAGTCGAAGGGAAGCCCCTTCCCTTTCCCTTCCCCGACGGGGGGGGGGGAGAGGAGGTCCCGGGGGGGGCCCCGGGGGAGTCCCGGGGAAGTCCCGGGTCAGATGCGACACCTCCCTCCCCCACCTTCTCGCCCTTCTCCCCGTTCCCCCAAACCATCCCACAGCCCGTGCCTCTTGCTGCGCATTGCGAACAGGGTCGGCGGCGCCGGCCGTCAGGCCTTCGCAATATTCCCCTGGTCCTTCGACAGATGGCCCCCGTCTTTGAACGCGGGCTTCGACCCGTCCTTTTTCGGGGGACACGCAGAGCATTCAAACCTATTCGCCACCCGGCGCGCGTCGTGGCACGCGCGGCGCGCTACTGGCCTATGGTGGATGCCTGTCTGGTGGTACTTCTTGATCTGGTCTGACGCCAGACGCCCCGCGCCCTCGAACGCTGGGCTACTTCGGGCGCGCGGAGCACCTGGGCACCCGGGGCGCTTGGAACCCGCGTCTGTTCACGCATGTCCCGCTCTCGGGCGTTAGAAACCCACGCGTTTTCGCGGCTGTCCCGCGCTGTGGCGTTCGGAACCCATGCGTTTCCACGCGTGTCCCGCTCTTGGAAGTTGGGGACCCATGTGTTGTCACGCCTTTCCCGCCCTGGGGCGTTAGGAACCCATGCGTCTTCGGGGCAACCCACAATGCCCCCCAGACGCCCCCCCGGGCCCCAAGATTTCCCCCAAGAACCCAACGAAGCAAAACATTCCGAATCCCTTTTGGCCGACGTGGGGGCCTGGGGAAGGCTCCCAGAAAACGCCGAGAGCCAACCAGAAGGACCTGACAAGGCGCCCTAGAAGGCCTCGCAAGCAAAACGCGGCAACCGCGAGTTTCCCGAGGGGTCGGCGGTGTGGCGGAAGCCTGAGAATCGAACAAATAAGCGTGACCATTATCGTCATCGCCATCGCCACCATCAACGCCAACATCATCATCACCCACATCATCATCAACATCATCACCCGCATCTCTCTTTCCCTGTCTCATTATGTCTCCCTCTCCCCTCGCATCCTCGGGGGGCATTAACATGGGGATCCCCGTTGCGGCGATCATGTGGAAGTCTCCGCGTTACGCCCGCTAATGTGGACTTTCACGCCGAAGAAATTTAAGGTGGAGACTTCCACGTCGGAGGGTTCGTTGGCGTGCTAAACATGTCTTTAACGCGTGCTTTTACATCCAGTATATGTCCGAAGATCCGAGCACTTTGCCCGCGATATGGAACCTCTCAATTTCTTGAGGATGTCTCAAATGGGGGCTTCATGTTTACATAAGGTGTCTCAAACATAAATGCCCCAACATTTCCATTTTGTTACGATGTCTCATGCGAAGCGACCATTATGGGACAACTTCCCTACCATGAACGGGAAGTGCATGGAATCGACGAGCTTGGCAAGAACATGCGCCCACATCGAGGTCACCTGTAGCGTAGACGCTCCCGGACGTCAGCGCAAGGTATCGGGTGGAGCTCGCTACCCGCGCAAATTTAGGCACATCTCCAGAATGTTGAACACATAATGGACTTATATAACTTTCAAGGTTTGGAAATCCGGTCCGGGTGCCATTTAAGGCATGCCTCGAGCGAACTTGGCGCATAATTTACCAGCATCAGTATCTCGTGTGGCGCAAACGATTATCCCGAACGTCAACGGGGACACCAGGCGGAACTCCCTATTCGCGCAAGTTCAGGTGAAGCCCCAGCATGTTACGCATGGCAATTTCTGTTGAACTGCTTTCATGCTTTCGAAGACCCGTCCGCAGGCAATGGATGCAGGAGTCTTGATCGAAGCGCTTGTGTTGAAAAGTCGAACAACTAGGTGCGGCCATCGTTATCATCATCACCACCGTCATCGCCATCATCTCTCTCTCTCTGTCTCACTCTGCCCTCCCCCCCCCCCCCCTCGCATCCTCGGACGACGTTAGCATAGCTTTGAGTTACTCACCTGTTCTTGCACAGCCGTCATCGGCTTGGTCAGCATGTCTGTTTCATTGTCATCGGTGTGGATCTTTTCGAACTCCAGGCGCTTCTGCTCGAGCCGCTGCTGCAAAACCAAGAGTCGGATCTCGATGCGCTCCATATTTCCTGGCCCTCCCTTCTTCGTCATGTGCAATGCGCTGCTGCTGTCGCTTGCCGGGGCAAACGTCATGTTCACGTGCCACTCGCACGTCGGTGATGCCAATTCGGGCGCATCTTTAACTCTGGGTCCTAATGCGCACAACTTGCCTTCCACCGCCCCGACGCCGTGCCCACGTCAACGCACTGCGCCCGTAGTGTTTCAGCGCGCCGCCGCTGACTCGGGCCCTGTCGTCCTTGTTGTCTGCCCAGTATTTCGCCAGTGCGGCGCCGTCCGTTCCGCCGAATATATTTGTCAGCTTTCATTGCCGGCGCCAAATCGAGGATCCCTGCCAGGTACCTTGCCACTGTTCAACCATCGCTGGCCTTTTATGAGTTGGTGCCGCCATGCCGCGGCTAAGCATTCCAATTCCCTGCTGTAAATATTCCCTGTGGTTAACAGCTAATGTCTACAAACTGTTAAACCATTATTTAGGGGGGGCAGTTTTAAACATGGTTTTCCTTAGCGCTGTAGTGCGCCTATAGCAAACAAAAGGAAGGCGGGGCAAAGTGGATCGCTGGGGACGTCCCCGCGACCGCCCTGGCGCCCTGCGCGCAGGGGCAGATTCCTGCGCGCCCCCTCTTGGCGTCAGGCCACGCCCGCCACGCCCGCCACGCCCTGCGACCCCAGCGTGGATGGAGACCGCGTTCAGGGACCATTCCCTGCGCGCCGCGCGCCCTGTCTGGGTTGCGAACGAGCCGCGCCTGACACGCCCGAGCCTGGCGTGGAAAGAGACCGCACTTGGGGGGCCATCCCTCGCGCGCGCCCTCTGGTGCCGAGAAGGCCACAAGTGCTTCAAGATGGCCTCCAAGATGGCGCAATATGGTCCAAGTTGGCAGAGTGGAACAACGGGGCAGGAGAGGAACTAGACCAGGTCGCGACGAAGGCCGGATCGCCCTCCAGGCCAGAAAGGCCCTCAGCAAGCAGCGCAGTTCGAGACTGCACCAAGGATGCACCATGTTACAGCGACGGTCGCACCGCCCTCTGGGCCAAATTTGCGGGGCTACACCAGGATGCGATGAAGGCCGCCCCCACTTTGGGCCACGCAAGCGGGGCTGCGCCAGGTTGCAGCGAGGGCCGGCGCGCCCTCCAGGCTGGACATAGGGGGCTACAACAACGACATCGGCATCCTCCCTGGTACCGAGGTAGAACAAGTGGCATCGATCGGCATCCATTGATTTTTTCCAGGGGGACAAATAAAACATAGTTATTCGGATGCGAATTAATGGCAGTCGGGGTCCGGGGGGGGGGGGGGGTCATCTTTTTTTCCCAACCATCCTGTGGTGTTGGGTCCTCGTTTTGAAGAGACGGTGCCCCGCGTTCCCGCCTCCCTCCTTCCTCCTCTCCCCCCTCCTCCCGTCATCATCATCATCGTCATCATCATCACCATCATCGTCGTCATCGTCATCGTCATCATCGTCGTCGTCATCATCGTCATCATCGAGATCATCGCCACCATCATCGCCGTTATCGCCACCATCATCATCATTGTCATCCTCCTCCTCCTCATCATCATCATCAGCATCATCATTATAATCATCATCATCATAATCGTCATAATCCTCCGCATCATCACTATCACCATTACCATCATCATCATCATCATCATCAGCATGCGTGCCCTGCACCCATTTCGGCACACCCCTCACACGTTTCGTGGCCCCATAGGGAGCTCCACCGAACGCCCCAGTGGCTGCGCTCGCATACGGTTCCACCCCCCTTTTCGGCACACCCCTCACACGCTTCGTGGCCCCACAGGGAGCTCCACCGAACGCCCCAGTGGCTGCGCTCGCATGCGGTTCCGCCCTCCATTCTCGCACACCCCTCACACGTTTCGTGGCCCCATAGGGAGCTCCACCGAAGGCCCCAGTGGCTGCGCTCGCATGCGGTTCCACCCCCCATTCTCGCACAACCCTCACTCATTTCGTGGCCCCATAGGGAGCTCCACCGAACGCCCCAGTGGCTGCGCTCGCATGCAGTTCCCCCCCTCCCCCATTTCGGCACACCCCTCACACGTTTCGTGGCCCCATACAGGGCTCCACCGAAGGCCCCAGCGTCTGCGCTCGCATGCGGTTCCACCCCCCTTGTCGGCACACCCATCACACGTTTCGTGGCCCCACAGGGAGCTCCACCGAAAGCCGCAGTGGCTGCGCCCGCATGCGGTTCCACCCTACATGTCGGCACACCCCTCACACGCTTCGCGACTCCATAGGGAGCTCCACCGAACGCCCCAGTGGCTGCGCTCGCATGCGGTTCCACCCCCCATTTTCGCACACCCCTCACACGTTTCGTGGCCCCATAGGGAGCTCCACCGAACGCCCCAGTGGCTGCGCTCGCATGCAGTTCCCCCCCCCCCATTTCGGCACACCCCTCGCGCGTTTCGTGGCCCCATAGAGAGCTCCACCGAAGGCCCCAGTGGCTGCGCTCGCATGCGGTTCCACCCCCTTTTCGGCACACCCCTCACACGTTTCGTGGCCCCATAGGGAGCTCCACCGAAGGCCCCAGTGGCTGCGCTCGCATGCGGTTCCGCCCCCCATTTCGGCACACCCCTCACACGTTTCGTGGCTCCATAGGGAGCTCCACCGAAGGCCCCAGTGGCTGCGCTCGCATGCGGTTCCACCCCCCATTCTGGCACACCCCTCACACGTTTCGTGGCCCCATAGGGAGCTCCACCGAAGGCCCCAGTGGCTGCGCTCGCATGCGGTTCACCCCATTCTGGCACACCCCTCACACGTTTCGTGGCCCCATAGGGAGCTCCACCGAACGCCCCAGTGGCTGCGTTCGCATATGGTTTCGCCCCCCATTCTCGCGCACCCCTCACACGTTTCGTGGCCCCATAGGGAGCTCCACCGAACGCCCCAGTGGCTGCGCTCGCATGCAGTTCCCCCCCTCCCCATTTCGGCACACCCCTCACTCGTTTCGTGGCCCCATACAGGGCTCCACCGAAGGCCCCAGCGTCTGCGCTCGCATGCGGTTCCACCCTTCTTTTCGGCACACCCCTCACACGTTTCGTGGCCCCACAGGGAGCTCCACCGAACGCCCCAGTGGCTGCGCTCGCATGCGGTTCCACCCCCCATTCCGGCACACCCCTCACACGTTTCGTGGCTCCATAGGGAGCTCCACCGAGGAATATATCTACAATTGCGGTATTCACAACTATGTATGGTTGGGTCCTTCGTCAGGCTAATTATTAAAATCAGTTTTGGACATTATATGCCATAGCTTCCCCACGCGCATCCTGTGTCCTGCTGCGTCCAAGAAATCGTCGTCGTCCTTCTGACCTCGTTCCTCGTCTCCGCGACAACCGAGGGTTTCGCTGCCTGCGGCCCGAGCTCCAGCATCACGTCCTTGAGCGGCGACGTCTTGCCCTTGATGGTATCGCCCCCGTCGATCTTGCGGACCTGCATGCTCGGGAAGGTGACCTCGTCGCCGCTCTTGCATAGTTTCACCGCGCCCGAGTGCCTGAGCTTCTCGCCCATTTCCGTCAGTAGTTGAACTAGTGACTCCTAGGGTCCTGCCACGGGGATGTCATCGGCATGTCGTCCTGCCTTGACCTTGCCGTGTGTCCTCATGAAGGCGCAGCCGTCGGAGCGCCCTCAGTCAGGACCCATCTGCTCCATAGTCTGGGCGCTGTGACCCTCCCGCGCCTTGGGTGCCCCCGCGCGTCCGGGACCGCGCGCAGCGCTTCCCGCGCGTAACCTGCTGGTGCTCCTGCTTCGGGCGGCGGTTCTAAGTATTCGGTAATCCGTCAGGGGCACTGCAATCGCTGGAGGACACCGTGTGGCCGTTGACTTCCGCGTCGGCCAACTACGCCTTCACGCGCTTCGGTGGCGGAATGGTGGTCGCGAAATTCTCGTGTCCATAAGTCTGCTGCTCGAATCCCCGCATGGTCCACCTGCTCTTCGCGCTGCCGTCGGCCTGGTAGGTGTCGACCCACTTGGCTGTCAAAATCGCAGAGGTCGCCTCGACGATCGGAACCTGCGTCGCGATCTGCTTGCCGTCGCCCGTGATCTTTTCGAGGTGCTCCATCCACTCCTCGTGGTAGTCGCCTCCGTTCACGTGGACCTCGTCGCCCTCCGCCGTCGGCTCCTCGCGCGTCTCGCTGACCGCGCAGATCGTAGCGATCCGTGGCTTGCCCCTGGCCCGGTCACCTCCGTCGTCGCCGTCTCGCGCCCGTCTGGAAGCCGCTGCGCCGGCTGCTGGTGCCGCTTTGCCGCCGCCTAAGCGGGCCGCGCCGAGCTGCTCGCCGCTGCCGCCCCCGCCGGGAGCGTTCGGGAAGTGCCCTGGTCGCCCCCCTGAGCTGGCGGCGCTGGGCCCTGGGCCCGCGTCCATAGGTGGCCAGCGTCGGCAGCGCGTGGCTTGGAGTCTGGCCCCATCGACGTCCACGGCGTCGAATAATGCGGAAACTCCTGGTGCTGCTGCCGCGGGTCCAGGGGCGCGCATTGCTGCGGGCGCTCTCCCCGGTGTGGCCCCTCCTGCTGTGGTCCCTCTTCCTGGCGGGGTCCCTCCTCCTTCCGGGGCTTGTTCCTCCTGATGGGGCTCCTCCTCCTGATGGGGGCCCTCCTCCCGCTGGCGCCGATGCCCCCGCCGCCGCGGCTGGCGGGGCTGGCGGCGGGGCCTCTCCTATGTTGGGGGGGGGGGCCAAGATGGTCAATCCCTGGGTCGACCTCTGCGTCGGCGGCCTTCTCCTCGACGACGGGGTCGCTCCCCAGTGCCCGGGTCGTCTTGTCGGACGAGGCTGGGCCCCTGCGTTTGCTGCGATCGCCCCGGGCCTGGTGGCCCCCGCCGGGGCGCCGATGACGGTTTCGGCGGTCCTGGCGTCTCTGCCCGGCCAGGTGCCCTTCAGCCACGAGAGCTCCGGTTTCTTGACCTGGGCTCCATGCCGTCGGCAGATCGCCGCCTCGCCGACTCCCGCGATCAGCTCTGGCACCTTAGCGCGCGCGTCTTCTCGCGGGGCGCCGAGCTGGCGCCCCCCCCCCCCCCCCCCCCTGCCGCGCGCCTGTTGTAGAGCCATGCTTCGCGGCGGAGAAGCCGCGCGATGGGGCGGGGGGTCCGCCGCGAAGTGCGTGTCCCCCGTCTTCTTCGACGCCGCCGACGCGAAGGCCCCCGCCTGCTTCCTCGCAGTCTGGGCGGCTATTTCCGCCCGAAAATTTAGCTCGAGAGTGCCGCGTCTCCGCCTGCCTCGTCGGGGTGGCCAGGCAGATCCCGCCCTGTGGCGCCCTCTTCTTCGCCGTCGCCGCGAGCGGGGGCTCTGCTGCCCCCGCCGCGAGCGGGTGACTCGTGAATATCCCCGTTCAGCCAGCCGCGCCGCCGCCGAGGCAATCTTACGAAGGTCTTCGCGACCCT